CACCTTGACACTTAGTAACACTATTAACCAACTGCATACTAATACAATAGATCTCCTAAGTGCAAAAAGGTGCAATTTGATAAATTGCCCAAGTATTGGTGAGCTTATCTCTGCACTTCCTCTGTCCCACAACCATTAATGTACAGTTTGCACCTTTATGGTTGTCCCAACAATTTATGTCAACATCTTTACTGAAGATTTTTTTAGGCATGACTGTGTAGAACCTGTAGAATCAGCACCACAGACTAAAAATATTCATACAGTTGTGATAAAAAATTATTTTGCAGCACATGACATTAAATAGTCTACTAACACAGGAACCAATATATTGACAATGTTATGGTGCACCTCTTTTGAATAAGAATGACCAGTACAAGAAACTAGTACTGGTGCATACTAACAAGTACTATAACAGCCTAAAAAATGTGTCATTCTTAGCTTTCACTGCGCACAAGAACAAGCAGTCCAGTGGCATATCAAAATGACCATTGGAACTCAACTGGTGACAATAAAATCACATTTGCACCATGCCAAAAACAGCTCTCTTTGGCTTATTAGTAGTACTTTAACAGTTCTAGTACAACATTAGTAAAAGGCATACTACTAGCGCATTGAAATAGTATTCAATGAGATCAGCATGGCAAAAAAAAGAACCATAAAAATTGGCCATACACATTACAGGTATCCCACCTAGCTAGTAGTAGTATGATCCTGCATCCATATTCAGCTTCCACGCCCCTCCTCCATATTGTCATTCTATGGGATGCAAGAACAAACAGACTGAGGATTAATTGGTTGAGATCTTTATGGGGATGCATCAAACTTTAGCATCGTAGTAGTCAATGCGGCCGGTCTGTCAACATTCTTGACATAGTCCATATTCCTTCTTGTTCTCTGCTAACTAATTGTCCCCCCTAATACAACAAGCAAAAAACTCATAAAAAATATAGTGTACTGTGTATATGTTGGGGTTGCTGTGTTATCCTCAACAAGAGGAGGAGCAAGCTTAGTAATAACTGACAGAGTATTCCGTCATATAGTACTAGTACTAGTACTTCCTCCGGTCCGCTAAGAGTGTCCAGTTTGCACCGAATAAGCCCAATATATGGCCGATTTCAATGCTTCTTTTTTGTTTAACAGATCTATTATAAATGTATAATGATCTGTAGGTTTCATATCGATGGTTGATCCCAACCATCTGATGGTTCGTGTAGAATAGAAGAGGTCTATTCCAGTCATCAATAGAAAGTCTCTTCMGAGGATCATGTCATATTTGCAAGGAGCTGAAAAGAGCCTTGCATTGATCCCTCGGGTATATTTGCCGTTGCCAAACTYGGGGAGTCTAATGTTGGATATGAAGACATACCTTGAAGTGTCAAAACTCCCTTGAGCCGTGGTTGTAACTGAGCTGAATCGGTCTTGAAAGGGGACTGTTCCTGGTGGAAGGCAACGCTTGTGTATGAGACACATAGTACTCCCACTGTCTAATAGAACCTTGAACRTATTCATTGTTGGTAAGTCTTGGATGGCTTTACATACTAGGATGACCGCTGGCAGTACATCCTGCATGTCTGGTGGTGTT